TCCATGATTAGATGGATTATGGATTTTTGAGAGGAATATCACAGAAAATGCCATTCTCAACACATCATATCAAGGGTGCGTGCGCACTAGCTAAGTTGCTTCTGACTCTGAGACTCCATGTACTGTATCCCACAGGCTCCTCTCTCTATATGCCACATCTTCTTTATCCATTCATCTGTTAATGAACATTTAGGCTGCCCCCATATCTTGACAATTGTGAAAAATGGTGCTATGAACATCAAAATGCATGTATCTTTTAAAATGGTTTTTTTTTTGGATATATACTCAGGAGTGGAATTGTTCAGTCATCTAATAGTTCTATTGCATGAATACTCTTAAAAGTTTTATCTTTGCAATATATAGCAAAGAGCTCTAGCTCCTCAAGTAACCTCTTAATTGTTATGCTTTCTTTTGATGAAGACAATTCCAATTCCATCCAACACTCCCACGGACACTCCTGCCAGGCCCTGAGGTGGTATGTCCAGTTGTCTATAAAATTAAGTCCAGCCTTGCTAGTATGGTTCTGAGATTTCCTGGACAGTAAGTAACTGCTGAAGCAGGCTACTTACCATGCCTTCAGCATTCACACTTTCCCTGCTGCTGCCTTGAAAGTCTTTCTCTCTGCCTCTTCCTTAAATTCCTAGTTCACTGACCATGAGTCTGCAGAAATTTCCCTCATCCCACAGCAGAAATAACTTCTCACTCCTTGTTCTCACCAGGCTTGTCCCTGGACCACAGACCTGCTTCATTCTATCTCCTGGTTTTGCACATCAGCTTAATATCCTCTATTAAACTCTTGGTTTCTGGAAGCCAGGTTATCTTATCACACAGCCATAATGCCTTCTATTATAGGACTTCAATAAATGTCAGATCGAATCAGCCCAGTTTGTATTTGAAAATGTCAACTGTTTGATTGACTCATTTCCTACTTGCTTCTGAGTGGCATTATCCATCTATACATTTCTTCTTCCAATATTACCAATGAGATTTCACTTTGTCCTATTTTATGCAGAGCTTTATTTATTTCAGCTGACAGATCAATAATGCATGGTGAGATTCACAGGTCAGGCCTCCTCCTGGTCCTTCTGATGGAGATGCTACCTGTATCTCTACCTTTGAAATAATGGAAGAGTTGGACCACTCTACCTCTTTTGGCTGGGTCACCTTGGACTGGTGACACAAACCCTCTGGGCCTGTCACAGGGCATTTGAGAAAATTATTGAGGTTAGGAATAGAAACTGTTGACCATAAATAGTAAGTATTAACAGGGGCTGGGAACTCTCTGTGTATGTTATGTGTACATCATGTTTACTCTTCACAACAGACTTAGGAGGTAACTATTCTTATGCCCATTTTACAGTTCAGAAAACAGGCACAGAGAAGCTAACTAGCAATCCAGTGCTATACAGAAGGTGAAGAACAGATCTCGAATTCAGACCCAGAGCAGTCAATCCCCACTCTCTGTTCCCCACTGAGTCCTTTGTGAAATAGCTGCCCCCAAAACTTAAATATTGGCTCTATTTATATAGAGGGAATATATACAGGAGATTACCTGAAACCACTGTTGCCTCACATTTTCTCAGGTCCTCAAAAAGAAAATGACTCAGCAAATACTGAGTGTCTAATATAGTCAAGGCATGAGCAGGATTCTTGCAAAGTCAATTCAAATCCTAATATAAATGAGTTCCTTGTTTCTGACATATGACGTCTTTCAACATATCTTGCACTGTAGTGGAAACTCCTGCTTGAAGGACCAACTTCAGTACATGCTTCTGCGGGTAACACTGTGAGCACCGGGCTTTATAGTCTATAAGAGAGGATACCTGTGGTCTGTGTCACGCAAACTCATACTCTTCATGATCCTCATTCCACCGATCAAAACCCCATGTGACACCTTGAGAGTCCTAAAAGTGAATGACTGGTACTAGGATATAAAATAATTGGAGATGCTGGTTTAAAAAAAAAAACACTAGTCAAACAGAGAGTAAAGTCCAGTCTTGTTAACCCAAATTCTGGCAATTGATTATGACCCCATCAACAGACTATATTACTGACAAAATCCAAGCCTGGACTTCTCAAAGAGTGCCGTGGTATTCAAGTGACCATGAGCTATGGGAGACCATAACTATTAACTAATTACTTTGACTGGTAATGCTGATGACTTTCCTTGCACAGTTAATACTTGGGAGATGTTTCTGCTTTTGATTTCCTTTTAGCCAAACCGGTGGCTATTGTGTAAATCCTCAACCAGGGGTGATAATGCTCCGATGGGACATTGCTGGTTGTCACCATTGCAAAGGGTTGCTACTAACATCAAGTGCATGGCGGCCAGGGATGCTGCAAAACATCTGACAATGCACACACCAGCACCCCCAGCAAAGAATTCTCCAGCTCAAAATGTCAACAGCTGAGGCTGAGGAACCCTGGTGGAGCTGCATGCTCCGTTCCTCAGTTCTTCCATTCAGTGGTGAGAATGCATAATACAGTGACATTTTGAAATCTTAAATGTTTTGTCCAAATGCACACCACATGTAAATGTGTAGATCTTCGGAACGCTTTCAGTCCCCTTTGGCATGGAGGTTGCCAGTGTCTTAGGAACTGGGTGGGTGGGATGGACAAGCACACAAATGCACACAAGCCCCTCATGTTTCTGAATTTCTCTTCTGCCCATGCCCTGTTTTAAAATTTTCTTTTTTGGGCTTCCCTGGCGGCTCAGTGGAAAAGAATCTGCCCGCCAGTGCAGGAGACGTGGGTTCGATCCCTGATCCGGAAATATCCCACAGGCCACGGAACTAAGCCCATGCACTACAACTCTCGAGCCTGTGCTCTAGAACCCTATGTGCAGCAACTACTGGACCACATATTGCAGCTACTGAAGCCTGCATGACCTAGAGCCTCTGCTCCACAGCAAGTGAAGCCTGCCCACCGCAACTAGAGACTATCCCCACTCTCTGAAATGAGAGAAAAGCCTTTGCAGCAACAAAGACCCAGCACAGTCAAAACTATAAATATAAAAAAAAAAATTTCCCCTTATATCAGCATTATCTATCTTCTCAGCTTAGAGCTGCTCAGGGCTTAAAGTATTTAGAAGAACCAGGTTAAAACTGTGCTTTAAATGCAATTTCAGAGGCTTTTTCACAATCAAACAGCTAAAGGAGGGAGAGAGAGACAAGGTCAGGAAGAGGACAGGAACTTAAGTCTGTCCACAATAGGTTGGTTTGTGAAACTGTACTATTCCAAGGCCAGACTAGGGTCTTCTTCTGATGTTCATCACCCTGCCCTCTGCTTGTCACAGCCTCCGTCACAAAATGATACACTTTTTTTTAAAGTATAATTTTTTTTTTAAATTTAAAGTAAAATTTGAAACTAGGAAATGGAAAGCTCACGGTTTTTAATGAGCCTCAACTAAGGTCTCTCAAACTTACCATGTCAATCACATTCACTATTCACATAGAGTAAAAGGTCTATTTATTTTCAAGTGTCATGGAAACATGACATTTATGACAATCCATCTTTGGTCTGTACACTGGTGGTTTGTTGGTAGCTTCTTTGCCTTCAGCTTCTCTCTTCCTTCAGCTTGATTCTCATTCATTCATCCTTTCCACAAATATCCCCTGGGGTATCTTGCTTTCTGCTGCAGAGACTCCAGAGGGAAAGTGGGAACGTTCTCATCTCATGGTAACCCACAGAGCTCTTCCCTTCCCTTCCCTGTTGGGGCTGGGGTGGTTTCCTCTTCGTAGAGTGAGGACCAACCTGGAGAAACAGAGGAACAGAACTTTGTATTAGGAATATCTAAACATCACCCCTCAGATGCCCATCCTCCATTCCTGCACCCTGCTGAGTGTTCCTTCAAGTGCTACTTCTTCCTAACCTACTCACATCGGCTTCGCTTGTTTTTAATTAATAACATCAAGAAGATCCGTCTTCTGTTATGGAGTTTTCAGCTCTCTACATGTGTGTGTTAAAAGTTTAAGTCGACTACGGTGGGGAGTGATGCCAGGGGTGGATTTAAGCTGGACCTTGAAATTCTGTGAACCTCTGTGCCAATAACATCTCCCCACTCTGGTCTGTAAACACATGCAGGGCCACCAAGTAGTGACCCATCCCTAAAGGTCAGCATCAGGAAATCAGAGAGTCTGTGTCTTCATGCCTCCTTCAGGAAGCAATATTTCAGGGGAGGAAAACGTACTTTTCAGCTCCCAAATTTTCTTCTAGATGGTTAAAAGGAAAAATGCCATCTCTCGGCTCCCACCCTGAGAAGAATGCTGCAGGGCCGCCTGGGCTTTGCTAATAAAAGCGGAAAGTGTAAAAGGTTTGGCGATGACTGACTTTCGCCGTTGGACGGAGAAATGAGATCACGGTTTTCACGAAGGACAAGAACCGCCGCTGCCGCCACCGCGGAGTCTGCCGCTTCCTCTCCCAGCGCGGGTCCTGTATTACATCACCGGTGAGCTCCTGGCGGGTCAGGGGCAGCGGAGGCTCCACCCGGGTCGCAGCCCCCGACTCCGGAGGATAAACACAAAACAGCAAGGGGGGGGGGGGGCGAACGAGAGGGAGCAGGAAAAAGGAGGACCAGGTTTCCTACCACCCCTCTGAATGTGAGGAGGGTGTTGCGCTGGCGTCTGGTCCTTAAGCAGCCGCAACCCAAATTTCATTCCCGCATCGCCCGCCCCCCCCAACTCCCAACCCGCCCTCTACTCTCAATTACGACATCCAAAGCGGCCAGGGAAGTCGCCTTGAGAGGCCCAAGGGGGACTGGGCAGAGAGGCTCCCAGGGACTGGGAGGGACCACGATGCCCGCGCCTCCTCGGGAGAGTGGGGGGGCGGGGGATGCGGCTGCCGCTGCGCCCCCGCCCGGCCCAGCAAGCGGTGCCTCCCCCGCCAGGCGACAGCAGCCGGACGGGGGCGGCAGAAGCGCCTCCTCCCCGCACGGAGCCGAGACGGCGGCGCAGGGGGAGGAAGGCGCCTTACCTTGCCCCCTATGAGGGGCGGATCATGCCATGGCAGCGCCGGCGAGCGACAGCGGCGGCGGCGGCTGCGGCGATCGGAGCCCAACCAGCGGCCCCGGGAGCTCGACCGGAGCCGGGGGCGCCGCGGCGCGAGCCCGGGACGGCGGGGACTCGGGAGCCCGGAGCGCCGCGGTGACGGTCCCCGTCCTCCCTCCGCTCGAGGACTACGAGTGCAAAATCTGCTACAACTACTTCGACGCAGACCGGCGCGCGCCCAAGCTGCTGGCGTGCCTGCACACCTTCTGCCAGGAGTGCCTGAGCCAGCTGCAGCTCCGCGCCGCAGCCGCCGCCGCCGCGCCTGAGCGCACGCCGCGCCCGCCGCCCTGGCACGGCCCGCCCGGCGCCATCGCCTGCCCCGTGTGCCGCCACCGCACGCCGCTGCCCGACAGCCGCGTGCACGGCCTGCCCAACAACACCAAGCTCGCCGAGGCCTTCCCGCTGGCCCTCCGCGCCGCACACGACCCGCTGCCCCAGGACCGTCTCCCGCCGCTGCCCGCGCGCCGCCCAGCGCCCACTTCGGCCCCGTCGGCCGCCGCGGCCCCGGCCCCGCCGCCGCCGCCGTCCTCCGAGGACGCGGCCGGAGGACCACACGCCCGCGCCGGCCTGCGCGCGCCGGGCAACTACGAGAGCTGCCAGAACTGCAAGCGCGCCGCGCTCACCGCCGGCTGCGTGTGCGTCGTCTTTTCCTTCCTCTCCATGGTGGTGCTGCTCTTCACCGGCCTCATCTTCGTCAACCACTACGGCGGCGGCGGCGGCGGGGCCCCCCCGGGGGGCGGGGCGCCCCCTGGTGCAGCCCCCGCAGCCGGATCGCCCTCGCCCTCGCCCGTGGGGCCCATCTGCCTGTCGGTGGCCAGCATCCTGGCGCTCTTCTCGGTCGTCATCACTTGGATCATCTGCTGGCTCAAGTACCGGCCCGAGGGCGCGGCCCCGGGCTCGGCAGGGGGCGGTGGCGGCCCGAGGGCGCGGGCTGCGGCAGCGGCGAGCAGCGCGCGGAGGAGCGGCACGTAGCGGGGCCGCACGCCTGGCCTCCCTCGCGCACCTGCAGCCCCGCGCGGCCCTAATGGAGGGGGCCTCTGGTCCCGTGCGTTCGAGCTTCTCCGCCCTCTCCCCTCCGGCCCTGGACGCGCACCCCCTCGCCGCCTGGCCACTGAGGAGCCTCGGTTTTCCGCCTCTCTGGCCTTTCCCGTCCACTTCGCGCTGGGCCAGAGAGGGAAAGCGAGGAGGCAGGGATGCGGGTGGGGAGTCGCGTCTCCGTGGACTCTTCAAGGTCAGCCCCCTCCATGCATCGCCCTCATCCTCGCCAGAATGCACAACCATCCCTCTCCGGAGTGCGAAGATTTGCAAAAAGAGGAGGAAAGAGGAGTGGGACACCCAGGGCCCCGCGTGGAAGCTGGTTTTCTGACTGCCGCGACTTGGGCGTTTCTTTAAGCGTATGGGTGCGCGCGCGCGCACACCCTCAGCAGTTGTGAATAGACTTGAGTTGTCCTGAGGAAGAACGAATGAGATGTGAACGTGAGAGAAAGGTCTCCCTGCCCCCTGGAGGTCCTGGAGGGTGAGTGAGCCGGATCGCTGGGAGTGATGTACAACCTTCGGGGGGGGGGCGTCACGCGTGGGGACGCTGGATAGAACAACGGCCCAGCATCCGTGCGCAATTGAGCAGGTGCTCAGCGCGCGTGCGCGCCCTCATCTGCCTCCAGATTATTTCGAGCAGAACGGTGGTGAAGCGCACTGGGCGGTGGATCCTTCTGTTAATGGCCCGACAGAGTCCAAGAAGTCCCACCTCCTGGAAACTTGTGATCGCTTTATTCTCGATGTTGCTATCAGGAAGTCATTTCATCTTCTGTAACCGGACTCAGGGAGCTTCAAGAGCCCGTTCTCTCTTCTCTCAAAACTGACTTACTGTTGCCCCCACCTGGAAGATACTGAAAGCTATTCGCTCAGAATAGAAACTGTAGGCTTCCCCTGCCTTTTTTCTTAATTTCATTTTTAAAATAATTTATTTTAGAGTATATAAATCTGGAAAATTTGTGCATTAAAATTTCTGGAAAAGTTGTTTGATAAGCAGTAATATTCCTGCCGTACCTCTAGTCCGATGAGGGGCATACAATAAACGCGTGTTTATTCAAGATTTTATACTGTGAAATAACTGATTTTCAATTATCTGATAAAAAAAAAACTGCCCAAAGACAAAACCGATAAATCAAGTACCAAGTCTTTCTTCCTTTGATTACAAATATACATTATTTTGAATGTAGCTGTTTGATATTGATTTGATATTAGAAATCACTGAAATGTTCACTTCTCATCACATTAGATGAAAAAGAATACATATCTATACGGTTTTGTAACTAAAAAGATGAATTGGAGTGTATGTTGCAGGTGGATTTGATGCTTTTTTAAAGAAAAAAAACAGTTGTTCTAAATGTGTTTTATATGAAAACATTCTTTATTCCATCTTTTGAAGTTTGGAATAAGACAAAGTTTTCATGCCTAAACACCACAGAAGCTACTGAGGGTATGCTGTTATTCCTCATGTATTTATGCAAGCTGTCTGCATGATATCCTGACACTATTCTATTAACTGAACTTGAATGGAGCATTTGTATCTATCATAGAGTGAAGTAATTTACTGGCCATTGATAAGTGGTATGGCTGCAATTTAGGAATTGCAATATGATGTGTTTTATGTCTGCACTGTCAATAAAAACAAGAAGCATTTCTAGAAAAACCTATTTTCATGAAACTTATTTCATGGGAAAATCGCTCCATGTTATTTGGGCCGCACTTCTTTTTCTGAAATACATATATCCTCATCCAGATTCTAATTTTACATTTTGAATAGGACTAAGAGAGAAATAATTCACATGTGGGAATGCACTGCAAGGACATTTCATGGAATCACTGGAACTCCTGAAGGCCAAGTGAGATCTGTTGTATTTTAAAGTTTTACCCACCCACTACTATAAAATTCCCCTAAAATGAAACTCTGTTGTCAGATTTTGTTCTCAGTTTCTGTAAAATGTTTTCAGGTTCCTAATATGAACAATCACATTCCAGAGATTGGTTTTAATTTACTTTTACCTCCAACAAGTTACTTATGCTATTTTAATTTCTATATTCATTTTTATCTTTTATACTGTTTGCCTCCAGTGCTGAGATTCTAGCATTCACATATGTTCAGTGGTACAAGTGCAACTACACATGTATGTATAGTACATGCTAGTAACAGAACTTGGCTTTGTGGCTGTAACCATGTGTACATCCACATGTGGGCACGCCCATGTGTTTGTTATTTCATTCCCTCAAATTGACAACCTAGAAGTCTGTCTAAGGTTACTTGGGGACTGAGTTTGTGTTCCAGAGAGGAAGGTAAAACAATGACATAAACTGAATTATTGCTCATAAAATCTTTGAATTGCCTGAGTCACAATACAAGCCACATTGCACATCTTTCATAGGTTGTATACATGTAAAGCTCGTATAATAAGAAATGTGAATACTTTAAAATCAAGTAGATACAATTAGGAGCTCAGTACCTGAACCTGGAGAGATTGTTGGGTTTTTTTTTTCTTTGCTAACTTTTTTGCTTTGTTTAGTGCTAATTTCTGAGTTCTTTATCAGGAATTGAGTGGCAGGATAGGTGACGGAAAATATTTTTCCAACTTCCAGTGGTTTTCTGGCATTCAGGTGCCCCCCATTTTGCAGATATAATATCATCATTTCCACCTCCTGTGGAAAGTCCTGGAATACCATCACCTTAAAGCATGAATTTAGCAGTAATTGTTGAAGTGACCAAGGAGATGTCTGGAGGAATCTTGTAATGATGGAAGACTCCTTTCTTGTGGAAATGCTGTAACTCAGCCCTGAGCACATCTCTAGCTCATGAGTATGAACCACCAGTAAAGTCACTGCAAAATGCCAGACTTGGTCTGGGCTGCACACATGCTCAAGAACTTGTGGTTTCCATGGTCCAGGTTCTGCTTACATTCTGAGACTGTTAGGTAGAATTATCATAATTAGGTAGAATTATCATGAGGCTTCAATAGCATCTAAATTTCAAGTGAAAGAAACTCATCTTGGAGTGATAGATTAAATACTTGGCCTCTGAATGTAATGCGATTTGGTGAACAGGGTCCACATTCATAAAGTACATCAATTTGGATTCTAAAAATCAGTAACATCATCAGCTGTTATGAGTCTGAAAACTGGTTTTCTCTTTTCTTGGAAGGACCTTGACTAGTCATTTAACTTCTTTGAGTCTCAGGTTCCTCATCTACAAAATAGGAACAAAATTTGGGGGTTGATATAAGGACTTGTATACAAAAGAGGGAATACAGGTGAAAATACTTTGGAAACAATCCCTATGTGGATCTATAGTTTTGCTTCCATTCAGGCTTGCAAGGGTCCAATATCACCTCTCCCAGAGAAGGGCTTCAGTCTATGGGGTCACAAAGAGTCAGACACGACTGAGCGACTAAGCTCAGAGAGATCTACCCCGACCACTCTATTCCTAAGGGAACATCTACTGAAGTTTTCTCTTTTTTCTTACTACTACTATCTGCAGTGGCCTCATTTGTTATATGCTTTATCTCAATCTCCTATAACCAGAATGGAAAACCAAGAGAAGAAAACTTTTCTGGTTACCTACTCTATCCACAAAAACCTTTAACCCGCTGTAGGTATATGGTAAGTGACAGTTAACTAGTCTGTTGACTTGCCTTAATGGGACACCCTGTACTAAATGTTAGATGCCTTGGCTTCCTTTATGCACACTGCCACTCAGTAACTCCTGAAACCCTGGGGGACTTAGGTAAACAATTGGTTTTCCCAACTTCATCTGGAGTTTTCAAAGGTGAAAAAATATACCCCCAAAGCATCTTGAGTTTTGATAAAAATCAGTTCAAGCACAATGAAACTCTAGTTGCAATATAGTCAGTGCAAGTAGACACGAAGAAACTAAAAGACATTTGGCTTCCATTTCCAGTCATTTTCTGCACTGCAAGATTTCAAGATGTGATGCCTTTTGGCTTCCTTCTTTATGTCTGAACCATCCGCTGCAAAGCCAGCAGCACCTACATGTTTGGGATAAGTTTACATTACAGTGAAATTTCCTCACAACATTTAGGTTAAGATCTATCAGATTTCTCATTATTTGTTACCCCCTGTTTTATTAATTTTTCAGTCTTTGCCACTTTACATAAATTATCCTTCATAGACTGGCTAAATTTATAATCTCAGTAGCTGAGTAATCCCCCATTAGTCTGTGATCCAACTCATCCTCTTTAATCACTTAATTCCCATTAGCTAATATTGTATTTCAAAGTTCTGTTATGATACAAAGACCATTATGTTCATGCCTTGGGCATTGAACTGCATCCTTGTTAAAGGTAAATTGCATACTTCTTTCTTTGAATAATATGTTTTTTATTGTATATGTTATAGTGTGAGTTTGTAGAATAGTATTTGCTACAGTAAATATTTCTGAAATGAGTATTAGAAATGACTGCAGTCAGATCTTAGTTCTGAGTTATATGAATAAAGAAATCATGAGAGATTTTCTCTATTTTTTTGCTAGATTTCTTCTCATTGTTCATTTAAGGAAAGATTTGTAACAATACCCTTAGCATTATTTCTATCCATCAGCCACACCTGAGGCTTCCTTTTCTCTTACCCAAAACTAAACTATGCCAAAGAGAGGCAAATTTTTTTCTGTCATAAATTCACCATCATTCTTGAAATACATTCAGGGAAATGAGAGTGTTCAATGTTCAATTTCCAAGAATATTCCTAGAAGCTCAGGAAGAATGTGCACACTTCCCTTAGAAGAAATTATCTTTGCATGTAAAATTGGATTATCTTTGGTTTAGAAATACCACATCTCCATGGGGTGGAAGAGGGGAAATGCTGATGTGGGAAGAAAGAGGGTAGAGAAGATGTGCAAAAAAGTTCTCCTAACCCCTAATATTACAAACACACATTCCAAAATAAACGGAGTGAAATCATTTAATCTTTGCAAGAACAGAACGCTTTTATTTCAGCAATTATTATCTCAAGAACCATGGTCTAGTTGTATTTGAATGACTCAGCTATCTCTGACCACAGTGATGATACTCCTTATCATATGGAAATGATCCTTTGATAGGATTTATATGTCTAGTGTGTGTATTTAAAAGTAGTTTGTAGTCAAACTTGAGAAGTGGAGAATCTGACTTGTAGCTTGGGGGAAGGATTAACTTCAAGTTGTGAAGTAGATAGTTTTTTCGCAGAAGAAACTTCGGAACTGACCTCTGCAAGATTTGCCCCTAGAGCCAATTTCTTATTAAATTTACACACAACAAACTTATTTCCTGATTGCAGCCTCAGCAGAAGTTCTCGGCTCTGGCTGCAGGTTAAAATTACCTAGAGCGTTTTAAGGGGAAAAAAAGCGAAAGCACCAGTCCCGCCCCCAGAGACGTTTCTTTAATTGGTCTGGGAGTAGGGATGCAGGTAGGGAGGGGAGGCGCATCAGTATTTTTAAAAGGCGCTGCAGGTGATTCTACTGGGCAGCGAGATTTGAAAGCCATTATACTTCACAACGTTTTTTATTCAAATGCGGACGCTCTCCCTAATCTCACTTTAATGAAAGAAAGGCCGCTAGGTTTCTTAGAAACTGGGAGATTGTGGACAAATGCTTAGATTTTGGAAGTGGCCATAATTTGAGTAACTGATTGCTGCTCTATTTTCTGACATTCTCTCTGTGTCTCTATCGCTTTCTCTCTCTCTCTCTCTCTGCACACACACACTCCTGTTGACTTTGTCTTCCCAGGAAAGTTAGGTAAATATTTGCAGCCCAATTTGGCGCGCTTTGTGGTCTTTCTTAATGTGGTGGGGATGAAAGCTGCGCCTTCCTGAAGGCTTTTCCGTGGACTCCCCTCGGTCCCTCAAAATAAGTGTGTGCTTTTCCAAATCCCGCGAGTCATCAAAATTCGGTGACAACGTGGGGATTTGAGGGCGGATTATGTGGATAACCAGGAAAAGTCTAGAGGTTAAATGAACAAAACCTGGCCAGTTGACAGCTCTGGGTGTCATCGACCATGACAGCTGAGGGCGAAGCCGTTGGTCGCCGGCAGGTGTGGACCTGCGAGCAGATCCAGCTCAAAGAGTCCTGTTTAAAAATATTTGCTAGAAGAGTTACTACTTTTTTTAAGACCCTTCCGAGTAGCCGATCAGCGTGCAAATTAATTCCACGCTCCGGCACCCAGGTGTAAAGGGATCTGTGCTAAGACTCGGCGGCTGGCGGGCGGTGGAAGGCGGGGGGATTACCTTGATTTCTCCGCGTTTGAACGCGGACGCCGGAGATGGTTCGTGGCTGAGCGCAAGGACTCTCCGGCGAAAAGCGAAGGTTCAGCCCTCCGCGGGAACCCGGGGCCGGGGCAGCCACCGCGACAAGTTCCCGGGGAGGCTCCTGGGCGGATGGCATCTGCCTCCTGGGGCCGGCCTGTGCCGGCACCCGCGCAGCCTCCAGTGCAGAAGAGAACTCGAGACCGCCCGGGCCGACGGGCTGGTCCCCGCACAACTGGGACGACAACGACCCAAACGTGACCTTTTCGCAGCCCCCGACCCCAATCCCCAGCCCAGCCACCCCTACACCGGCGATCCCGAAGGACTGGCGCGGGCCCGGGAGAAGCAGAGGTAGAGCGCAGGAACCCGCTGGTCGAGACTTAAAGGCTTGTTTGTTTGTTTTGCCTTTGGTCTTCCTTCAGCCCTTGCTCTCCGGATTTTGTGACGCCCTGATTTCAGAGTCTGAAGGTCTCTGATCCGGTGGCGTCGTTACCATTCTTGGCTGTCCACGGGCCCCTCCCAGCGCCCGTCCCAAAGTTCTGCATTCGCATCTATTCCTAAAAATAACAGAGAAGCCAAAAACCCGCTCCAGCCTCCCGCCGTCTTTCCCATTTCCCCCACGGGGCTTTCGCAATCCCCCACACCACCACGTTGTTCCGGCGCGGGTCAGCGGGACGTGGACAGCCAGGGATGGAGACTTGGAAGTACCTTTGCTGTGTTCGATTTCCTTTTGGAAATTCCTCGCGGTTCCCCGCACGGGGCGGCGCCCGCATCCTACGCGAGGTTCAGCACCTGGCTAGGCGCCTACGAAGACTTCAAGAAGCCCGGCCCACGACACGTTCCAAAGAGAGCGCTGATCCGCGGGAGGCACGAAGATTTGGATTCCTTCTGCAAACAAGCATCAGCTGCCTGCCACGTGTCCTCCAGCCCGAATTAGAGGCAGCTTAAGGATGTTAAGCGTCTCTGGTTCTTCTCCGCCTGGGAAGACAAAGTAATAAACTAACTGGGAGTAAGAAAGAAAGATTGTTTAAAATAAGCAAAAAATTTAAAGTGGGATTATATTACTGGAAGCGTTTTAAAAGGGAACTGAAATGGAGTAGATTTCCAAATTATTTTCAATGGAGATAAGATAGATCAGTGCCTCCCAGAGGCATTAAAGGTAACTTTTGTTGAAATTTATTTACAGAATAGGGCAAACAGTGAGAGGTAAAGTATTCGGCCAACTCCCAGATCCCATCCCTTTGGGGGTCTGATTGGAGAGTTAGAAACTTGTTGGGCTGCTCATTGAACAGGAGTGACAGCACCACATTGTCTGGGGTTTAAATCCTCATTTTGTTGCTTGCTAGCTGTGTGACCTAGAGCAAATTAAGTAAACTTGCTGGTCCTCTTTTTTCTCATTTTAACTGGATACAATCTAGTGGTTTTAAACAGTAAGTAAATTAGTCTTTGTAAAGGGCTGAAGATGCCAGTGCTTATGAAATGCTCAATACATATATGCTATTACTCTTAGATAGTATTATATTACTATTACATAATTATAAAATGAAAATGTGCCAGAATCATTAAGTGCTACTGTCAACGCACAATTTTCCCTGTTCTCCCAAGATAGTTTATTCGAGATGGAGAACCCAAGCCTCTAGACCAAGGAGTGGTAGGCTTTCTGAGCACTTGTTCTCCCAACCCCAGGACACCAGGCATGTTCTGAGGAGTCTTCTGGAAAGTGTGGTCTGATTCCTGGGAGGTAGACTGTGACAGGTGATGGAGAAATGACTTAGCCACTACTGGTGTCGAGAGGATGATGGCATCAGAAAAGCCTGATGTAGGACTTCTCTGGTGGTACAGAGGTTGAGGATCTGTGCTTCCACTGCAGGGGATTCAGGTTCGATCTCTGGTCAGGTAAGTAAGATCCTGCATGCTGTGCAGTGTAAAAGATAAGCCTCATCCCCCTACTTTGGTACTTTTGGGCAGAGGAGCCTGGTGGGTCATGGGGTTCATGGGGTCACAAGAGTCAGACATGACTTAGCAACTAAATCACCCTTAAAAGGATTTGGTCCGAGTGTTGATTTTATGCATCCTTTCTCCTATCAACTTGTACTTGTGTAATGTGTGAGCTGGCAAAGTCCAATCTCTATTTCTCTTTGTCTTTTTTTTTTTTAACACAAATGAATTATAAAACCATGGGAGCAAACTAAATGACATATTCTTAAGTCAATACTAAGTAAGGATGTGTGTGCTGTGTCTGGCACATAGAAGGATCATAACTTTTGTATTTTTCTTCCTAATATCCTTTTCTTCCTCACAACCCTCTGTATCCTGTTGTCCCCTAGTATACAACTATCCCCCCCCATCACATATTCTGCAACAGTGAAATGGGGATTCAGGTCACTTTTCCCAGCACAAATGTATCCTTCAAATCAGAAACAGTCATTCTGTGCTGTCTACTATGAGCCCACCTTGACTAATGTCAATTAAAACTTTCAAAATCAGAAATATCTTATCATGTTTCTTCAGTATTTTGTCATTTTTGCTCCCTCTCCCCTTTTCAATCTTAAAGCAATTCTCTTCTCTTCCAGGACTTCTCAATTTCTTCTCTTTTGTCTGTCTCTGAGGACTTTGATTTTCAGGGTCCTTTCCTGCTTTTTGAGCTCAGAAATCTTCTTTGATTTCCCCTCCCAGAGTGACTTGCCAATCCCTCCAGAGTTCACAGTGCCCCCAGGATCTAGCTCTCACCCCCCTGGTCATCCTGCCCAATGAAACCACACTGTTTGCTCTTCTGATACTGCAGCTTCCTCACCAATCAGAGGAGAAGAATGCACTGCACACTTCCCCTACTTGGAAACGTGACGTTGTTCTGGGGGACATGTGATGATCATTTCTATTACAAGGATGACTCTTATGATCTCGTTACACAGGGCAGCAGCCCAGGCTGTCTGAGAACCTCCTCAGCCTGCTGTGGAGACAGAAAACAGGTCTGAGATGCCCCAGGAATTCTCTTTCCACATGGGCCTTCTTACCTCTGCTGCAGGTTCACACTGTTTCTGTTTTTCTCCCCTCTCAGTTCAGTTCAGTTCAGTTGCTCAGTCGTGTCCGACTCTTTGCGACCCCATTGACTGCAGCACGCCAGGCCTCCCTGTCCATCACCAACTCCCGGAGTTTACTCAAACTCATGTCCATTGAGTCGGTGATGCCATCCAACCATCTCATCCTCTGTCGTCCCCTTCTCCTCCTCCTTTCAATCTTTCCCAGCATCCTCAAATGAGTCAGTTCTTTGCTTCAGGTGGCCAAAGTATTGATTGGAGTTTCAGCTTCAGCATCAGTCCTTCCAATGAATATTCAGGACTGATTTCCTTTAGAAGGGAGAGTGCTCCCCTATCAAGTAGCTCCAAAATCTAGTAAGACTTTGCTTTATCAATCATTTTCTGACAAGTAAGAACTGCTCCTTTTTGTTGAGCAGTATGTCCACTACTGTTCTGAGAAAACCATGGCCCCCTTTCAGACCCCCACGGAGCACTACCTGCCGTCGCCTCTACTGCTTCTGCTGGTTCCCTTGATCCCAGACCTTCACAGTGGGAGTAGTGGTTCAGTCGCTAAGTTGTGTCCAACTCTTTGGAGCTTGCTGGGCTCCTCTGTCCATGGAATTCTCCTGGCAAGAATACTGGAATGGGTTACCATGTCCTTCTCCAGGGGATCTTCCCGACCCAGGAATCAAACCCTATTCTCTTATATTGCAGGAGGATTCTTTATCGACTGAGCTACCGAGCCTTTTTATTAATAATGTATGAAGCCCTGTGAAGGCATTCTCTCCTGTATGGTCCTGCTGGTTTTTTCCCATTTATCTCACAAGGCTGGGGAAGGATGACTGCTTTGCTAGGGTCTTGGGCTCCTCCTCCGGAGTCCTTCCTCTCCCCTTCTTCTCAGAGTGGTAGCAGATGTGGGAATTATTCAGGAAGGACACGCATACCTGCCACGTGAAGCAGGTGTAGTCTGTGTGTAGTGTGCAGTGTATAGTAGCAGGTGTAGTCTGTGTGTAGTGTGCAGTGTATAGTAGCAGGTGTAGTCTGTGTGTAGTGTGCAGTGTATAGTAGCAGGTGTAGTCTGTGTGTAGTGTGCAGTGTATAGTAGCAGGTGTAGTCTGTGTGTAGTGTGCAGTGTATAGTAGCAGGTGTAGTCTGTGTGTAGTGTGCAGTGTATAGTAGCAGGTGTAGTCTGTGTGTAGCGTGTAGTGTATAGTAGCAGGTGTAGTCTGTGTGTAGTGTGTAGTGTATAGTAACAGGTGTAGTCTGTGTGTAGTGTGTCGTGTATAGTAGCAGGTATAGTCTGTGTGTAGTGTGTCGTGTATAGTAGCAGGTGTAGTCTGTGTGTAGTGTGTCGTGTATAGTAGTAGCAGGTGTAGTCTGTGTGTAGTGTGCAGTGTATAGTAGCAGGTGTAGTCTGTGTGTAGTGTGTAGTGTATAGTAACAGGTGTAGTCTGTGTGTAGTGTGTCGTGTATAGTAGCAGGTATAGTCTGTGTGTAGTGTGTCGTGTATAGTAGCAGGTGTCATCTGTGTGTAGTGTGTAGTGAATAGTAGCAGGTATAGTCTGTGTGTAGTGTGCAGTCTGCCCAACTCTTTCCTGCCTGCAAAGAGTTTTCTCCTAGTTAGGGAGCAGGAATGACAGGTCCAGATGACTGGGGGGACCTGGACACTAAGGTACCTGGGTCCCCATTTTCTTTCAAATAAAAATTCAATTTTCGGACCGTGGGCACCGAGAAGAAGATGCTCAAGCTCATGCTGGATTTTTGAGTCAGGGACACCTGGAAATCTCAATCTCCTGACCCCCAACAGTGACATCTACCTTACTCTCAGAGGTGGGGTGAGGGATGGCTCCAAGGAAACCTCCCTCTGTTGGTGGCAAGATTCAGTCCCCCTGTTACCCCTTCAATAGTTGGAATGAAGTGTCTTCGGACACTTCGGAAACATCTGGAGGGACTTGCAGCCCCCAAAGTTTTCTCTTTCTAGGTCAGATCACCTCTGCTCGTTCGGCTGCCCAGACCCCGCCCCTAGTTCGCCAGGACGTCAGAACGCCCCGCCCACTGGCGGTAGTAACTCCTTAAACTGTTGTCCACCTACTGGGTTTTTTCACCTTCACCCTTTTCCTTCCTTTAGCAATCACTCCTCCCTACCCTAGTCTCTGCAGAAACCTACCTCTACTGAGCCTCCCCAGACTTTATCTGTTGAAATAGCAATGCGCCAACCCCATCTCACCCCAGGGTTGCATACCCCTTCTCCTCTCAAGTCCTCTGAGCTTCTTCAGAGCTGAGCTGCAAACTTATAGTCAATCTCCTGACAAGTTGCATCTATTTATTTTGTGGTTATTTTCTGCGACTTCACCTCTGCCATGATGAGGACTCTGGTTTGTTTTCATCACAAGGTTAGCCCTAGCCTTTGGAACTGCACAAAGTAGAAGCTCAGTAAGTATGTGTGTATTGAATGAAAAGTTCTAGGGCGGCTCTGGGAACTCAGCCAGAGGACAAGTCAACCATTCAATGTGTAGAGTAAGACAGTCAATTAAGATAATCAAAACTGCCCCAAGGAAAGGCTTCAAAGGCCAGGCTTGCATGTGTCTCAGGCCCTAGGGGACCAGTGAGTAAAGGAACCCACACATTTTAATGAAAAATTTTTGGAGGGGGGAATGAATGACTGAGACAGTGTGGGACCTGGAGTGTGCACCCGCACATTTAATGAAAATTTTTTCAGAAAGGGGAAGGAATGATTGAGAGACTGTGGGCCATGGAGTGTACCCAGCCTCCACACAGAGGAAGCAGCAGGAAAGAAGGCTATGATGCTGCAGAGGGTGCAGCTTAAGCCAGGAGGCTGGTGCTCGCCAGCCACCACATCTCGCACCTCTTGGCCTGGCCAGCGCGGCCCAAAGCACGATAGCACATCCCCCTTCTCCTC